GCCTCGGGAGACGTTTTTTAACGAGGTATCCCTTCCGAAGGGAGCGACTCAAGAACTTAGAAGCCAATGGGGCTGACATATGTTACTCAGCGTGACGAGCCGAGTCCGTAGACACCAATTTGTGGACTTTTGAGAAAATTTTTTGGGAAATTATAAAACACAGAATTTAACCGTGTCCCCCGCGCAGCATATGAGAAACCGCCATGGCGGCCCTTCGGAAGGAGCGACTCAGAGGCTGGCTGACATATGTTACTCAGCGTGACGAGCCGAGTCCGTAGACACCAAACTTGTGGACTTTGGACAAACTTTTCCGTTGTGACATTCACACTAGTCTTAATGGTGTGGACCTCAGCATATGAGAGATGACCCATGGCGGCCCGCCGAGCGCCCCCCCCCCCCCCGGCACAGCATTGCGCCCAGCAAGCAGAGCTAGCCGCCGGCGGCCCAGCGGCGCCGCCGCGCCCCCCCCCGGCATTACCATCAGTTTGTGTTGTTATTTTCTACAAAATAAATGGAGTACTGTGGTACTTCAAATAAACACAATGTGAAGACTTTTTATTACTTTTTTTTGCAAATCAACAGGTGGTGCCAAAGCCAAACGAAGGGCAGCTACAACAAATTATCATTGTAATCTCCACAATAATACTGGTTGTCACCCTGGCCCATATCATTTCCTGTTATAGACTAACCTGGCCCCCCATCTCAGAAAGGAAAGTTGATGTGGCCCCCACTGAAAAAAGTTTGGGGAACCCCTGTGCTGTGGCACCTCAGCATTATGAGAGATGACCCACTGGCGGCCCTTCGGAAGGAGCGACTCAGAAGGCTGGGGCTAACTGACATATGTTACTCAGCGTGACGAGCCGAGTCCGTAGACACCAAAACTTGCTGCGACTGTTGGCAACAAACTTTTCCGTTCACTATGGTCCACACTCAGTCTGAATGTGTCGTGGCACTTTTTCAACACAGTGCCCACCTCATGGAGTTCTTGCCTCCAGATCGATGACACATGGCGTGGCCCTTCGGAAGGGAGCGAACTTCAAGGAAGGCTGGGGCGACAGAAGGGCTGGCGGCTGACATTATGCTTACTCAAGCGTGACGAGCCATAGTCCATCAAGACACCCAATTCGATCCCAATTTGTGGACTGCGAGCAAACTTTTCCGTCTGTGACATTCACACCTCAGTCTTATATCGTGTGGCACTCAGCATATGAGAGATGACCCATAAGCGGTTCCCGCCGCACCGCCCCCCAGCACGCCCCCCAGGCCACAGCATTGCACCCAGCGAAGCAGCGGAGCTCGCGCCGGCGGCCCGCGGTGCCCACCGGCGGGGCCCGCGCCGGCCCAGCGGCGCCCCCCCCCGGCATTACCATCAGTTTGTGTTGTTATTTTCTATAAAATAAATGGAGTATCTGTGGTACTTCAAATAAATACATGTGAAGACTTTTTATTACTTTTTTTTGCAAATCAACAGGTGGTGCCAAAGCCAAACGAAGGGCAGCTACAACAAATTATCATTGTAATCTCCACAATAATACTGGTTCTCACCCTGGCCCATATCATTTCCTGTTATAGACTAACCTCAGCCCCCCATCTCAGAAAGGAAAGTTGATGTGGCCCCCACTGAAAAAAGTTTGGGGACCGCTGCTATAGACCTTGGTAAGTCTGAGGAAAGCAATGCTGGTAAAGAAGAAGACACTTTCCATATTCAAACACTACAGAAGGCAGATAGGTAAATAAGTATTGTGATAAGATTGGAAGAAAATGGCTCTTTCATTCTCGATAAATAACAACCATGCAAAGACAGCAACAGCTCAGTGCTACACATGGAAAGATATGATATTATACACTTAGCATGATATGACCAGTCCAACAAACGATAGGCTATGTAAAACCTATAAATCAAACAATTTTTAAAATTACTATGAGTTGATTTTTTTTGTCAATTGTGGCTTCTTTCAAATTATTCGGATCACATGAGTTTTAGTTTTAAAAAAAATTAAATAATCTTAGTATACATACACTGTGGTGTGCAATTTTGATACGACCACCTGATCAGAAGGAATATCAATGAGCAGGACAGATAGTGGCTTTAAAGTTCTAAAATGCCATGATGTCCTTGTGCGTTACTTGGAGAACTTAAAACCAATGTCTATTAAGTCTGCATCATTATATGGTACCAATTATATGGTTATGTATAAATTTGAGCTTTAGATCTCATAGTTTCTTTATATATTAGCATTAAAGCTGCAATGACTGGTACTTTAAAAAATCTGATAGTACCACTCTTTTAAATGTGAAAATTTGCTGTATTTCTTGATTCTTACATTGTGGTAAAAATAATATTTTTGGGTTTTGGACAACTGGTTGGTCAAAACAAGAAAACTGATAAAGTCAGCTTGAGCTCCAGGGTATTGTCATGGTAATGTTCTACTGTTCAATTAACACAAAACCTAAACAAAACTTTAGTTGTTGTCACTTTACATGTAGAAACATACCTCATGCTTCTCTGTGGTCTGTAGGTAGGCATTTACCTAAATGGAAGAAGCGACCGTCCAGGGTACATGGCCCTCTACCTCCACCTGACCTCAGGCCCCAATGACCACAGCCTCAAGTGGCCATGTCCATGGCAGCAGGCAATCATGGCCTTGATGGATCAACAGTCTGACATCAGACAGCAAATGAACATGCACCGAATGGTCACGACTGACCCCAACAAGATGTCCTCTGATGGTAAGAGATGGGGGGGTTGTAGTGAAACGGGCTTGACTTCTAGCCGTATCAGCTGAGTGTCCCAAAGCCAGTGAGTTGTTGAGTTTGTCAAACAGAGAATTACAGTTCACCTGTTTCTCTCAGGTACTGAGTACTACTGGGACAATCCCAGGAAAGTGGGCTCTAAAGTGACTGAATCTGATGGCAGCTATTATTATCGAGGCCCAGGATCCGGAACAAGTTCCTTCCTCACCCACAGCAGACTGGGGAGCAACAAATTCATCAAAGGAGATGATGCCTTCTTCCTCTTAAGTCTGGAAGGTATGGAAGTCAGTCAGACACTAGTCCATTATACAGGACCAGGATATCACACACAAGCTATTCTTTATATCTAAGTTTCATCCTGTCTCTGAACCATCATGATTGTTGTCTATTTGTCCTCAGATATTTCCAGCCTGCTGGTACCTCAGCCTCTGCCTCACTCAGTCCAGGCTGCTGCCAGTCTAATGAGGGCTGGAGACCACGACACTCCACAGGGAGATGCTAATAACCTAACGGTGATCACAACTGTGGCAGCATCTGTGGGAGCAGTCGTGTTGGTGGTTTCCATGCTGACTGCCGTGAACGCCTGGAGGATGAGGAGAAAACAACACAAGAGCGACAAAGTGGTGATCATACAGGACATGTTTGGATTCATGGAATGAGCGTGAGTTGGAGTATTAAGAGTCAACACAAATTCACATCATTGCAATTTAGGCTAGCAATAATTTACTGTGCTTCATTAGCACCAATGTATCACACCTACCTGTCATGTGCCTTTTTTACAAGTATTTCAGAAGACTGCTACCTGAACCTATCTCATCTTTAATCTGAAGTTGCATGTTAAAAATAAAATTGGAAAAAATGTCTTCAAATCATTAGATTCAATCATCACAACTTTTCTGTTATCAGAGAGCAGGTGATTTATTGTGATCACTTTCAAAGTGATCTCAACCTCAAAAAGCTATAAGGGTATTAAGACATCTGGCTACTTTATAGTTGAAAACTTACTTGTGAAAAACTTACTTGTGAAAGACTCTTGTCACTTGTCATTGGATTTGTGGCAGAGCAGCAACTAAATTTTAAAATGGTATTTGGAAAGCATCATCCCAGTTTGAAGAGCTCTGTTCCCACCACAGCCTAAGACTTCCTGGGCCCCAGACCTTCAGAATAAATGCAGCACATTCAAAAGACATTGCATTTTTAGTGACTTGGAGTACATATTCACTTTTACAGGTAGAATGGGTGCCACATCTGAAACAGTTACAGACAAATTATCCATCATTGGAAACAGCTGGTTAACTAAGACTATTTATCTTTATGGTGACTTGGAGTGAAACCCTTGTCATAAAAATGTAGTCTTCTGCCCAAGGTCCTGAGGAAAAAAACTGGTGAGTGTAGTACCAACAGCAGCCACAGAGAGGCACCATAGTCAATATTATTATTCACTGTGAGTTCATGGTCATTGAACACCTGCACTCTATTCTCCTATTAAATTTAAAGTACAGGTTTTACAGTAGGTCAACAGTCAAGATGAAGTGATGCCTTTTGTCTTGGACCTTCTCATCATAAACATGTTCAATGCTTCATTGACTATTTGATATGATTTTGTTCCCAGGTTCTTCATACTTTTGTAGTTGTTGGATTTAGTTTGTGTGTAATCTTAAGGGTATGTTATTTCTTTTACTTACTTGCCATGCCTCATAATTCATATTGTCATCCAACATAACCCTTAAAACTTTGATGCGAAATAAATTGATTTTGAATAAACCGCAAATCCTCTTGTTGAGATTCAATTTGGTCTGACACCATTTCTATTAGTAGGTTATTATCTACAAGTGTAGTAAAATTAAACTGTTCCCATCACATACAACTTCACATCTTACAAGGCTTAAATGAATAAAATATCTACTTTCCTGTTTAGCATTACATCCATCAGTCACTTACCCCAAAACACGAGACAAACATCAGTTCAAGTCAAGCATCATTTTTAATATTATGAGATACTGAAACATTGTGAGTGCTATGATTCATTCTCAACTGGAAGGCATGGACTAATTCATACAGTTTCACACACGTTGTAAGTGTCTTGTACACAGTGACCTTCTCACATTGTGTTTTTGTCTTTAGGCAGAAGTTTAGAAACAAAAACTAAAAATCAGCCCAGTTTGGCCTGCAGAACATTTCATGAGGCAGGACCACTGACTGAGGATATGTTATCTGGAAATAGAAATTAACACGAACCCTTGACATTTTAGTGTTTCACTGAGAAAAACCAAAACAATTTATCTGATCCAATCATACATCGCACTTCTTCAAATATCCCGCTGTTCTCTGGATCAACATCGAGTGTTAAAATCCAACTTTTACACAACATTCAACAAACTAGTCCTCGATAAAACTGGTTGAAACCAAAAGGAAGACCGAAAAAGGCAAAAATTGTATTAAGGATTGTCTTTTGATATTTTCAAATACTACATTGAAGACCCAACATTTTGAAGGTTGTTGAGATTCAAAATGTCAATAATTGTGCAACTTCTCCCTCCTCATCAAATTGTTTTGTTTTGGTTGTCTGATTGTTCCATTAGGATTTTGGTATTTCTAGGCTCATAGAGCTTGTGCAGCTTTATTCTCAAACCTGATTTGACAACAGTAACAGGTCAGATTTGGTTTTAAATTATATTGAAAAAATGTCGGGAAAAAGTATATTATTTGTTTAGAATTCAGACTCATTTGATGCAAAAATGCCTTAATATTCAGACCTAACAGATATTTAAAGCTGTACTCATCAACATTTTCATATTAACAGCAGATCAAATCACAATGTGTAATATGGAAGTGGTCATTCATAGTGACAAACCCACAAAGAATCATCACCCAACTGCAGTTCATCTCATCTTTATGCAGCTTTTTCAGTTATATTGTTTTTATTTTGGCCTGTGAAATTAATTAACTATTGCAGCTTTAAGTTCTAATTAGAAAGAAAAACAACTTCTATCATTCACATGAAATCACGGTTATTTTTGTACCACTAGGAACACTTCTGTCATCACATTAACTGCGAAGGCAGCTCAAAAATTAACCAACCACAGTCAATTTCAAGGTTTAATCATTGTAGTAGTATTTTTTTAATTATCATTCACCTTTCGTTGACCTATTTCATTAACAAGCTGTCACTCTTGGTGAACTTGCGTTAAAGATTTATGTACCACCGCACTTCAGCTTTTATCTACTGTGCTGTAAAGAATTTCAAGGTAAGCCTGTGTGATGTGTGCTTGTTAATAGGAATGGATACTACAGACACACACAGCATATAAATGACTTGCTGTACTCTTGCATATTAACTAAGTTCTAAACTGACTCTAACTCATACTGTCCTTATGATTTCAGTTTATTTCAGATTGCCTCTTGCAAGCAAACAGGCATACGCTCCTTCAGCTATAACACTATACACACACACACACACACACACACACACACACACAGTTGGAGGAAAAATAGTCCCGACAGTGTTACACATCTGTCTCACACAGACATGTCATGGATTAAGGTAAACAGCTCTTGCAACTTATATATCGCTGTCCCCAAAAATTCTACCCTTCTCTACCTACACGTGCGCACACACACAAACCTTGTCCAAATTACCTAGACACACACTAATGCACAAATGTGCTGAGAGCTTATCAAAGTCAGGCCTAAAGGTCAGGTGCCATAAAATTAAAGCACAACCCTGAATCTGTCAGTGCACAATGGAGCCACGCTGAGCAGCAAAGACAAAAACAACACAGAAATATAATGTCTTAGATGACAGAAAATGGAAGGTAAACTGACTTAAAGGTGCACTTCAGCTAACTGGCAGACCGAAATGGCAGTGAAAAGTAAAGACATAAACATCCCGAAATCATGAAGTACATTTTTTGCTGCATTTGCAGAAAACTGTTTGGATTATTTCCTGTGGGCTGAGATTTCCCTTTGGTGTCCACACAAAAACCAGATTGACCTGAATTTAAACAGATGGGAATACTGGGAAAAAAAACAAATCTTGCCTATTACAGCTTTAACAGCCTGAGAAGTAACAACTGAAGGGTCGTCTGAGTTAGAGCCACAGAGATATGAAGAAAGATGAAAGTATGGAGGACTCAAAGGGAAGGTAGGAGAATGGAGGTATGCAGCAAAACAGAGCAATAAGCTTCATGCATACAAACTCAATCCTTACAGGACAGAGGCCTCTGTCCATCATGCTGACTTGAAGCCAGTGCAGGTCAAGGAAAGGCAGCTTCCACACATTCTCATCTCAATGTAAAGAAAATTTGCTGTCGAATCATCACTCAACGTGGCAGAGCTGAGATCTTAAGGCGTGTTCTTCACCCTGTGTCCTCTTTCTGTATCTGCTGACCAACACTGTGTGCTTATCATCAGGACTGCCCTCTATCACAATACACAAAAATACCACAACATTGGGTGGACCGAATGTCAGTATGTACAAAAGGAATGCCACAAAATTAGGTTCATTTCCATCAACTGGTTTGGAGCGAATTAACAAGGCTGCGTAGTGTCATCAGAGGGTGGTGGTATAGGCTACGTTACGCATGGCTGTAATGTACAGAGTAGAGGAAGTAGAGGTCAAAACAAGTTGTTTGTCAATGCTGAATCAATTAGTGAGCAATCTTATTCATTCATACACACACACACACACACACACACACACATATACATATATGTATATGTATATATATATATATATATATATATATATATATATGCTTTGCCCTTTTCTATGTAAACTAGAAACAGTACAAACCATAGCTCCAGACATAAACACTAACCTAATGTTAACATTAATACACGCCAAAAACACTTAGTGATTCAGAGTCAGTAACATCTTCCAGTCTGTGACACAAGATAACAAATGAACCAATGCATGAATTAATTATAAAGTGACCATGTTGCAGTGCATTTAACAATGGCAGTGAGGCTTTAAACAGTGGATTTAGTGGATGGTCATGTTAATAAAGTCATTAATGACGACGTAATAGTCACATTTGGTTCTGTCCTTGGTCAGTCATCTCCTAACTTTGTCTCTTTGCGTCTGTTTTATGACCTGCTGTGGCTTCACATTCATGCCGCCAAAGTGATTTATGACAACCATAAGCCATTCTTATCATCAATTTACAAGCGGGGAGCTGTTTAATTAAGACTGGAACAAGGCAGTTTAGGTGTGAAAGATAAAAACCCTTAATATGAAAGATAAGACAATTCCATGGGAGTTATTTGTGTCATTTTGTCATTTGTCAATTATTTGTCACTTGTTGCCCGAGCCGCAATTTTGTTGTTCTATGTTGCTGTCCGTCATCTTAGAAATTGTCCTGGAAACTTTTACAAAGATATGGCTCTCTCACTTTAAAGTGAACCCAACATGGGCAATGAGAAGAAGGGTGTCCTAGTGACCAAGTGGTTTACATATGTTTGTCTGAGGGACCAGCAGAATATTTTTATGGAATATCTTGACATTATTAATGATTCATTTTCTGTACCAGGTCCCTGACAAACTATGGGACAAGTGATGGAAAATTCTGGAAGAAAATTTGTTCATCGGTTTTTAGCCTGGTGTTACTATTTGAGGGCCACTGGTTACAGGTGACAACACTGACCATCTTGATTACGTACCACAGGCTGCTAATTTAAAAGTGCTTTATAATCATGTGGTTGGAGTCCGAGTCAAGTTTCAAATCAAGATTTTTTTGGCCAGTGGTCGACTCTAGCAGAAACTTCAGTCTACAAACTACAGTTTGTAGAAAAAGTAGTTTTTTGGAGTTCTTTAGATGAGACAATACTTTTCCTCCGAGTCTAATGTTGTTTGTTTTTTTTTTTTTTGCAGAATTTAGACGGGTCACAGTGTTTTTTAATACTGGAAGGAGCAACATTGTATTTAACAACACTTAGTATATATCAAAACCTAGTATATGTATGGACTATGTATAGTCTATGAGCAAAATTAAGAATGTAGCTGAAAACTGTTGTGGAACCACTGTAACATACTGGCATTATCGCTTTGTATTTGCATTCAGCCTAGTGTCAGCCATTTATCTGTTTCCCTCTCTCCCCTTCCCTGTGCTCACATATACAGTATTTTAAGCAAAATTTCCAATAATGCTGTTCTTAGTTCCAGGTTTTTCTGTTTATTGATTTTCTGCTACTCACTGAGTAGACACAGAGAGAAGTATTCCTCTCGCTCACAGGGCATTATGGGCAATTGTCTATGGTAAGAAGCTAAGGTGGCTAGATTTATCACTGGGTGCTTTTTTTTTTTTTTTTTTTTTTTTTAGCAAAAAGAAAAACTGTCCCTATATCTAGCGACAAATGCACTAAAATGGCAACACTGCAGGCTATAAACACCCCCCTAATAGAAAATCTTTATGCAAATACATTTTGAAAGAGCAATGGCCAATGGGGAAAGTCCAACACTCGGCCGGCCCACCAATAGTGTAACTTTATGACTCAGTCTCGTGGCATTCGGCTGACAAGTGATGTAACTTGATCACTCAACTCTATCAGTCAGTCAGTCAGTCAGTCTGTGACATTCGCATTTATAGGGCTGGCCCCACTGTTGCGGTCCAGCCAATAGAAATAAGTCTAAGACAGAGGAAGATTTGTAAGCTTCAAACATTTTCTTATTATACATGAATATTTAGGTTTTCTCACACTCAAATCACATTACCCATTTAGATGGAGCGGGACTCTATATTTGTGCTCTAAAACATTAGTGCAGTTCTTCACACACCAGACTTTAAAGCAAGATTATGTAACTTTCAGACACATTCTTCCTCTTACACATGAAACATTTAAATTCATAGCAATTCAAGACACTGGAGGTTTTGCTGCTACAGCCTTACTTGGTTTTGTTTAACCAGTAGTTTACGGTAGCTAATGTTGACTAATGTTAGTAACATGTAACATATAACATATTCAGTAATGTCAGTAACATTAATGAATCAATTCGCTGACTTCATGACTCATCTCCACTTATGTGAGTGTTACAATTACTTAGCATTAGCAATTAAATTAGCATTTAGTTAAATAGAAGTATTGCTAACTGCTAAACAGTAATTTAGCATTTAGTGTAGCATTTAGCTAATACCAGCATTAGCATAATACCATCATTTTCACTTGTAGCTGCAGTGACTGCTAGTCAATAAAAGTTGCAAAGTCTGGTTTTAACAAGAATACAGTGAAAAAGTGATTTCTGCTCCATTTTTATCATCCATAACAATCTGGGTTTTGCTAGTGGGCAGCACTACATCTGCCGGAAGAGAAATATTTTCTAAGGCATCTACAACGGCTTCAGCTATGTTAGGTGTTGCACGACCAGTTGTTAGAGTAGCATTTTGGTTAGTTAGCTAGCTAGCTTGTGAATATCATAGGGCACTTGTGTAGAAATCATCTGATGCTTCAGTGTGACAGAGCGGGCTTGATGAGCACTACATGTCCCCTGTTATCACAGTGGACTCAGTGGAACCAAGAGAATGAAAGAATTTCTGGCTCTACAACAAAAAGTACATTCCAATGGAAAAATATCAGGCTTGCCGACCGTCACTGCTTTTCAACATAATCGTGTACTCCATTAGTAAATCTCTGTCACTGCCCTGATATAACCAATATAACAAAAACAACAAAATTATATAATTGTATTGGCTCCAAGACTGCATATTTTATGACATTTCTGTCACATTTTTGATTGAGAAAATACAGAAGCATGAAACAATATTACTTCCTGTATTTTCGGTACTCAAACACCTTGGTGAAATATATTCCTACAGGACAGCAGTGCTACAATGTTGGGCTAGGAGTCTACCTTTCAACTTACTAGAGTTTATGCACAAACTAACTGAGAGCGTTATAGTATCAGGTGAAGCACTGGAAGGTTGTATAACATTGCACTGTATCTGTCTAGAGTAGCTACTGCACTCTCCCTTCACAATCCTTAAAGCCACCATGTGTAGGATTTGAACATTTTGGCATCAGAAAAACACAGAGTGCCATTAGAGTAATTTGATAGATGCTACAAAAAAACGCTACACACAGTGGCCTTGCATAACAGAGCAACAGTTGACTGTATATCTGCATTTTCTATTGTCTCACTGAGACACTGAACAGTGATAACACAGCGTGACACTTTGGCTCTAGGCTGGAATTCAAATTACACTACTCTATGAGGTAAAATTAAACTGTACTTGACTTTAGTTAGTTAGAAGACCACACTTTTCTACCACACTTGGAACTACTGCTCTTTTTGTTCACAGACTCATTTTCCAACTGGGAAAGGATTTGGATTTACATCATATTCATACATTAGTTGTCGCAAACCAGACAAATTCAGCACACTCTTAAAAACTTGTTCATATGCCCTTTCAGTGTTGCAGTCAAAACACAAAACCCAGTGTATGTTCTCTCAGACATCAGTACCTTAACTGATGCTAAAAATATTCTCCAAGTATGGAGACAAAGCATAAGGCTACAGGATAGGGAACAGGGAGCCCTTGGCTTACTCAGATAATGGCAGAAAATGAGTGAAATCCACCAACTGGTGGAAGGGTCACTCAAAACTATTTCTACCAGAAAAAATGCCTGAGGAACCAGAAAAGAATACCTGTATATCCCCTTGTACTACGCCGTTTCCACTCATGCACGTTTCCACTCACGCACGTTTCCACTAATGTTAAACATAACAAATATAAATAGGCAACAATAACATAATTCTTATTATCATAAATTTAACAACAGGATAGAATGCTAGTTTCACCACAGGACATTTTCAGTTGACAGGGATTTTTTTTTTGCTATCAGGATTTTTAAGTTTGAGACATAAAACTCTCAGTCATTACTACTGGGAGATCAATATTATCCCGCTACATGTTTCTAATCACATCCCTGACTCAACTGATGAGATAAAGTGTTAAGATCTAGAGAGTTGCACCTATTTAGATGTAATGTAGAGCACAGATTCTCAAACCCTTACATTGTCGATAAAGGCTTTTGCTCTACTAACCCACACCACAGATTTTTCTTGTCATAATTACACATTCTCTCAGCGTGGTCATTTCCATGAATGAAGTGTGAATTAATGAGTGTAATGGAAGCTAGAGCAGGAACTGCTTTTCCTCAGACCACAGATCTCTGGTCCAGAGTCATTAATTGAAACAGGTGCAGTTCACCTTGAACCACTACATGGATGTGTACTGATAAGAGCAGCGCACAGACTGGAGGCAGCAGAAATAAAGTGATGCTGTACACCCCTCACAGCTGAGTTCAATTTACACCTTGCATGAAAACACAGATTAAAAGTAGAAAACCACATGGCTAACATGCAGAACTTTATGCTACACTCCTTGATAACTGAATCAATTTTAACTGCAGGGTGGCCACTCATAACTCCGTGTGGTCTGGTTATTCTTAAAGAGAGAAAACGACGTCTCCTTTATGGTGCCCTGCGCAGTTGGGTTATTTTCATGCGAACAAAGCAGAGGTGTAAATTGAACTTCAGGACTTCACTGCACAGTTTGATACAGGTAACCTCTTTTATAAGCGCTGAGAGGGTAGAAGGTGGCCACAACAAATTTCCCATCGAAGGTGCGACCTGTCAGCAACCGCTGGGCCTCTTTGGAGTCACTGGAGTTGGCGTACTCTACAAACACCTGGTGGACACACAAAGGACGTGGAGGAATTAGTGGGTGAATGTGGGTGAGTTCAGCGGATGCCCATGCTCTGGTTGCGCTGTGGCTTCGTTGCAGTTCCAGTGTTCACTAAGAGTGTTTCAGAAACAGAACACTTTCAAGCAGTTTGTGCTTCAGCACAAACATTTCATATTGATTTTGAGTTTTCTGCTGATATTTTTCTATTTTACAAGCATACTGAGTATATGTTTGCACATTTGATGATCATTTGTGGCTTGTACTTAGTTTAATGGCTACTACCACACATTGGCTTGAATCTTTATCTCTTTCTTGTATCATCTCAAGAAGCCCTGACAGAGCTTGAAGGCGATGCAGCTCCACCCAGTGCACACGGGGAGTAAGTGAGTACAGAAAAGAACATCTGTAGCAGTGGAATAGAAGGACTTGAACCACTGAAATCAATAAACAGAACTGCACAGAATGAATCGGCTAAAAATCATCTGTATCTCTTACACCTTATTTTCTACTTATTTTATTGCACAATATTGTATTTAAAGTTTGATGTACTACTACTCAATGAAGTCTGCATGTCTGAAACATAACAGAGGCTTTCTATGATGAAATCCAAGCGAAATAAATGGTATTAAGGATTCCCTGTAGCTCCTTGGTTTTTAGTTAGATCTTGGTTGAAAAAACAGTCTCACCTGTCCTTTCCCTGGGTTCTCCTTGGGGATGAGCAGAGAAACCACTGAGCCGTACTTCTGGCACTCCTCTTTCATGTCCTCCAGGATGTCTGGGAAGAACAACAAGACATTTTTACTTACTTTAGACAAACATCCTGTAGAGCAAGCATGTTCCAAAACAAACACCTTCCACAGCTGCTGGATCAAAAATGACTCACTTACTTTAATCTCTATAAACTTGTAAGAAACTTGATATCAATTCAGAAATGAACAAATTTATTCATAATTTAAAGACAGAAAAAAGTGATGTTGTACCTTCATACTCTTCTTCATTGTGCAGATGACTGTCATCAATCAGGTTGAGCAGACGCAGAACAGGAGAGGGCAGCAGAACCAGGTCCTCAATGTGAGGAGCTGGCGCACACACACATACACACACTCATACATAAGTAAATGTGGCACACTGAGAAATACATTAATCTTGGTGGATGTCACAAATATTGACACATACCAAAGGGAATGCTGAAGAATGGGCTCAGCAGGGCAGTTTCAGCTGTGCATCTTTGCTTTGGGTCATTGAGAAGCATGCTACAGGCACAAAATAACCGAGGCTCAGTCAGTAACTGGAGACATTACACAGACCAAACTGTCCTTTGCTTTACACAGCAGGCAAGATTATGTCATTATACAATATAGCTCGTAGTATAGTAGATTGAGTTTACCTTTTGATAAGGTCTCTGAGGTGATAGACAGGGATTGCAGGGCACACCAAACTGTTGCTGGCAAAGATATGGTCAACAATGGCAGCACTGTTATCCTAAAGGAGAGGAAAACAGATTGCAGAATACTATTTTAGTGTTGCAACAAGATTTCTGCATTATTAGACTTTTTTATTGCTGAAAACTTCCAAATCTTGTAAAAGTGATTTTTTATTTTGGTCCCATATGTACTATATGATTTTTGGGGATTCATTTTTATTCCATAGTTTGTGTTTTGTAGATTTTTTATATATAATTACTTTCTTAAGCCTTAAAAAAAATCTTTTAAACACCTAATATTTGAAGTGATTCTTCTTCTTCTCTATTTATTCATTCTATATGAATTTGAACAGAGTTAGATCATGCTCAGGTAACCTCCCATGCTAGAGCACAACTTTCTGCCCACATGTTTATACACTCTGAGGCTTTCTGAGCCCATTAAATCTCATCAATCTACCCTGAGTTGAGCTTTGTCATACCTTCCACTCCTGCGAGCGGACAGTTTCTTTGAGTTTAATTCCTGAGAACATCTCCAACAGGATGATGCCCAGGCTCCACAGGTCCACAGCGGCTGTGCAGCCCGAGTCTCCCTCCACCTCCATCCCGGCCTGAGCAAGACTGTTCTGAAGCTCAGCCTCCGGAGCGCGATACCCGTCTGTCTGGATGTACTTGACATCCTGGAGTAGGCGAGCAAGAGTAGGAGTTAGAAATACAAAACTAAAGTTATCCCAGCTTCTCTTTTACTGGCTTTCAAATTCTCAAGACACACCCACCTGGTTTCCCTCTTTGAAGCTGAGGCCGAAGTCGATGACCTTGAAGCACTCGTCATCAGCGCTCCAGAGGATGTTGCGTGGCTTGAGGTCGGCATGAACATAGCCTTCCTTGTGAAGGAAGGCGAGAGCCTCCAGGATGTCTCTGGCACAGTGCTGAACAAGCCACATGGAGTGGCCCTGCTGAGGTCTGCCAAAAAATATCATACTATGAAGTTACACAAAAAGCTCAAGCTTTCCTAAATATATGAAGACCTTACAGGGACTGTGTCCACTGTTATTCATTATATTATCTTTCCAATAGTTTTGAAACAATTTCTATTCAAGGTCTTGTTTTTGGCATTTGTGAGCACCACATTAATCATGTACCGCACCACGTCCACAGTATCTGAATGCTTTCTGACACTGTAACATTCTGGGATGAATTTCTGGAAACCTGGTCAGTTCACCAACAATCATATACACAGAACTCACTGTCAACAGTTTTCACTGGAACAAGAAACATCCTGTGACAATTTTTATTGCATCAGAAGTGCCACTGGGCAAAAAAAGTTGATTAAATAATTAAAATTTGTTAAGATTACTGAAATGAGCCTCCCACTGTATGATGATTGACTTCTTGGTCTGTTATCAAAGTAAATGGTGTGGCTTTATATGTGATACAGGATATGATGGTGCAGGTTATTTGCAGCACATTTGTTTTACCAGTAGATGGCAATGTGCACAGTTTTGAATGAAGCTTTGAGTAATGAATTTATCACTGATAAAATATGCCAGTGCTTCATTACACCATCACTATTGAGTCATTTTTTGTGCTTTGAGGAGCACAAACAAAGTTCCACTCATCTCCATTGTATTGAGGAGGCAGTAGATGCTATAGTGAAGGATAAAAGGATAACACAGACCTGGGTAAGTAAGTACTGGCCTTTAGAAACCCATATCATCACCTATGTTTCCCCAGATGTATTTATGGGCACAGAGACTCCAGATATATTCCCCTCTTGCCCGTTTGGTTTAGCTGCAGTTCAACACCGAAAGATCTTATCAACCAAAATCAAGACCATGCGTTAAACATGTGCCTGTGCTTCACCTTAGACAGTGAATGCTGATTCAAACAGCACAAACAAGTGTGCAAATGCAACACATTCAGCACTTGTGTACAGAATGTAATACTATTTGTGGAATCTGTACATGGTGGAGCTAGTCTGATGAACTGGCAAACTGCCACAGTCAGGGTCAAATATCAGAAGAAATCACATTACTCACCTACCACCCTGGGTACCACTGCTGCCTCTCACCAACAGCTCAGACACACTGACATCCAAGAGCTCCAGCAGAAGACAGCGGGTCGAAACACCCATACAGCTGTGGTTGGTGAACACCCCGTACAGTGTCACTGAAAGGAGTATAAATCTGTCATTACGAACAGCAAGCCCTGTACTGGTGCATTCCTCTCATGCTGACAAGACAGCAAATATGACCTTCTAATGGACAGTAGCATTCACTCCAGAATAATGGCAGTGACACCTTACTGTAGTTTAGGAGGATCACATGATGCTATGTTCCTGAATGAAGACATATGTTGAACTGTCTACTCAAATATAACCCTATCTTGAAAGACTGACATACAGTGAAATCAGTTATTGCTTCATATGTGATCACATGCAGAATTAAAAAGCAGACCTTAACTATAAATAATTGGTCTTACAGCCTAATATACCACTGATGACAAGCAAGTTCCGGCTAAATTGATAGCTTTTCCAATGGAATTTGGCATTTGCTCCATTAGAACAAGACACCTCAGTGCTAGACTCCATGAAACCATGGACGCTTTATGTCTGTTATCAAAGGACTTTCCTGTTATAGAAAGGTTCATACTAAGTGACGACATTTCATTTTCATGTCAGCATAGCTCATTGTTGGTTTTGATGACTGACTTTAATGTTATGCGCCAGGAGGTTGCCTAAGCACATTCTCTGTCTGTAATGTTTTCACATAGTAAAATAATGTTGTTACCGATGTTTTTATGTCCCTGGATGTCCTCCAGCACGGACCTCTCCTTGTGATACCCGTAATCTCCTCCCTGAGTGTCGGCCTGAAACTCCTTAACAGCGGCGGTGGTGGCTCTGCCTGAGCTGACCCGGTACACCGAGGCCGAGACTCCCTGGCCAAGCCGCGACTGGACGGTCCATATCTCGCCGAAGATCTCGAACAGCACCGGCTTCATGCTCTGGTCTACGCTACCCTGCGACGGCATGATGCCGTCCGGACGCGGTGCCTGTACCTTTGCGCTCGACTCGGAGGAGCCGCAGTGGGCCATTGGGCAACGACAGAAGGGAGACAGGAGACGGGAGGAGAGGAACCAGCTAGTTGACAGGTGGGAGCAGCTGCAGGAGCATTGCGAGCGAACCGGGCTCTATCAGCGCCACATAAAACGACCAGGACGGGCAGCAAACAAACAACAGCAGCAAAGAGATAACCCTGCTACACCCACAACCTTGTTAAAACTAAGCACGTGGTAATATCCGAGCATATTAGACGACTGTTTGCTCGCTGGGGGTGTCCAAATGAGTTCACGCCAGCCAACTGACAAAAAAGTTAGCTAACTTAGCTCTCCTCCAAATGGCTAAACTAGCCACCGAGTTTGAGCGAAAAAACAAACCACTTCCACGACGTGCATTAACATACTTCCCCGTAACGTACTGGATTTCTTACGGCATTTCAACTGAACACAACAACGTGTTCAAATGTATCGGTTTCGGATGTAGTTAAGTTTTACTTGAGTTGTAAACTCAGTTTGTTGATATTAATCTCACTTCTGTTTCTGCTCTCCTCCTTGCACGTTTGCGGTCCATCTTTTCCTGCAGTCTGCCCCCTGCTGGTAGGGAGTGTAGCTGCACTGTTTTGTTTTCCCATGAAATCTTGTTTCCATCAAAACGTGAAAATGTTTTTGCATTTCAGACAATTACATATGAAATGTATGGTTGTCTTGAGTTCTAACCCTGTCTTTTCACTTGTTCTCTTCCACAGGAATGTACGAAAACACAAACTGCGGCACATATAAAATCCATTTATCACTGATAGGTTTGCTTTTTGGAAACATACCTTACACAGAACTCTAATAAACAAGTAAGACATTAAAGATATTAAAGCCTTATTTTGAGTATTTCAAGAGATACTTCTGCATTGCTCCATGGAGGTTTCCTGCCTCTGTCTTATCCATTGAGGCTCCTCCATGTACCTCTTCTCTATGGCCTCTGTGGGAAGCAGCAGAAGACAGACATTTATCATGTTGTGCTCTGACATCATCACCCTCCCCCCCCCCCCGTGCTTTGTGCTGCATAAGATGAACCAGTTACAGTTTTTTGGCCTTGTCATTCTTGTGGAATGACATTCCTGTGGAATGACAAGGAATAACACAAAAATAACACATTATGAACCATATCACAGCATCTTACTACTCTGACGTTAAGGGTGGGTAACAGAAAACACTGAAATATTTATCACAGCCTTATCTCTCCATTGATGTTGCACTCTTTACTGCTCATTTTTGTCTGTTTTTTTTATTTATTTAAGCTTTTAAGTGAAATATATTTCTCAGTATATCTGCCTCATGCTGTGGTAGATTTGGTAAATGCAGTGCATTTATGTATATTTTTTAAACATCTGGAACACAGTGCCTCCATTAAGCTTAACCATCTCCTAAACATTACACCTAAACATACAAGCTCTAACCTTTGATTACAATAATATAAAGGTTTCATCTTAGACTGCAGTAATACAAATATTAAATTTGATATTTGAAATTTATCTCATAGAATTATTTGTGAAAAACTTTATTAGAAGCAAAGGCAACTCCAGATTAGCCTTTAAAAACCAAAGGAGACTTTCTCAGCTGAGGCAGGTGTCTCCTCCTCTTCCTCACCGGAAACACAGGATTCATCATCCCGGAAAGGGAAATGTCAACAAAATGAGGTGGTGTTTTTGAACATTAAGCAGTAGACGACACTCTTGCATACTTGTCCTGCTTGGGAGGACTACAAGAAGAGGTCCTTGTTTGAGGTCTCAGGCTTTAAAATCTTGAAACAGTAAGTTTACGACTCAAACTGAGCACAGAGCCGCTGCCCACTGGCCAAGGTTATGTAATTTCAGAACTGAAGTGAACCGACCATGCAGCTATTCAAATGTCAGGTCCTAAAGCCGATATTCCGTCGTTTATGTTTTGACGCTGGCAAGAGGGTGAGTAAGTCGATAACTTTCACAGTGGTTAGCCCAGACCATTGTATGTGTGAACATAACACGGCCAGGAACATTAAGTGAAGTGGGAGTGTGTGTTTTTTTTTTTCAGAAGAAGCTAAAGCTAGCTAGCTGTTATTTCAACTGGAGCTCTAGCGGTAATTTGTTTTTAACGGGCAGTTTTTTTTTTCTACACGGAGAAACGAGTGATGTCGCAGATTGTAACCTTTGTCTTTATAAACTATAACGTCAGCCATTACTTTTGCATCTGCTGCGTCTTTTGCATCCATTGCCTCACCCCTTTGCGTGATAACGTTAGCTAATGTTTAATATTAATATATCCATTGGCTGGTTTTCACGTCTCGAGCTGTCAGAACTGCTGAGCTCGAGGTCACTGTCGCTGAGGCGTGGTTGTCGCGCGTGACTTTTCAGGAAATCAGCTGACAGACCTGGATTTTGGAAAGATCTGGAAAATATCTTTTTTTTTTCCTGAAGATATTTCAGAAACTATTGGTGCTTCACATAACTTTGGCATTCATTCGTCTCATTTTGTATCTAACTGTCTTCCATCCTGCTAGAGATAAAGACGTGCGTTTATTTTTCTTAAATCTTGTCTGGACACGATGACTTAAAATTTTTTGCAATTTGTCAAAGGCTGTTTTACTTATCGCCTTGATGTGAGCCCGTGGAAACAAAGATTACTGATTTGGTCTTTAGTTCTCATAGTAGGAGTCTGGAGTAATTATTTAATATTTTTTATTTGCCAGCTGCAATAGTATGTGGCTGATATTGTTTTCACCTTGAGTGTGTATGTGTGTCGCAGGAACTACCACAGAGGTGGTTTTGAGGACAGGTATTTAGACGTCTGTCTGTCTGTCTGTTGACAGATATTGTCACTGTGATAGTGTTACGAGTGTGCAAGATACAGTCATGAAACTTTACAGGTGTATAGCTGAGATTAAAATGAAGGCTGAGTTTGAAGATGAATGTTATCCCGCTCGTGAGTACCGAGTACTCATATAGTTATGCAGTAACGACTACTGAGTACTCATGGATTGAACATCAACATGTCAATGGGCCTTGTGGCTAGTGTGAACCCATTACAAGATGTCTAGATTCTTCTTGTTGCCAAATATTATGATTTCTTAATCTCTTAGAGCATCCCAGATAGTGTGCTCTGAGTTTACAGTATTTTTTAATAAAAAGTTAAATCTGGTGACTTCTTCTTTTTGGACAAGACCATGTTTTGTATCTTGACAGGACATTTTCAATGTTTGACCTTTATCTAGCCCTGGTATTGTTTTTTTTTTAAGGTGTTGGTTGTAAATCATACTGTGCATTGTTACACAAGTGAAGCTTATTATAGATTTCTCTGTTACAGTTTGTTGAACAGTGAATATCTCCTGTGTATCTCATGAAATTTTTGCTACTGCAACTTTAAGCACCCAAGGAAACCAAGCAGCTTTCCGTACTGACTGATGCTCTCCTCGTCCTTTTTAAGGTGATCCTGAGAGGCATGAATGACTTTGCAGTTCTCAACACGGGGCGGAAGATGCCCCTGCTTGGACTGGGAACTTGGAAGAGTGAGCCAGGAAAGGTAGAGGCTGCACTTTTATCTTGTTTTTAATAATAATATCTTTGATAAATTGTCCTCTTTTATGTAATTCATTTCCTAATAACAACCAGATAACATCTCTGCCTGTTCAGTTCCACCCTGTCCTTCTTCCAAATGCAGAAATATATCTGTAATGTCACACATTAAGGCTGCACATATCAACAGTTTTATATTAAGAACAGATCAAATTACTTTATGTAATGTGAAATGTATTGTTTGTACAGAATGACACCTCTTCAGTCTAGCTCTATGGTGCAGTTATGGTTTCATGACTCACAGCTTTACTGTTTTGGTTTAGTCAGACAGCTCTCAACATGTAGTCTCCAACGACAGCAGGCAGCTGTCTCCAGCAAAAAGCTCTAAAATCCCACTGTACACCATCCATTCAGCACCAAATAACAAAGGCAGAGAAAGACAAAGTCAGTGACTAACTGGTGAACAAAGTGGAGAATTTAGCAGAGCCAGATATTTCCCTTCAAGAGTTGATGGAGACCAAAACAGAGCTAAAAATAAGTTAATATTGGACCTACCCTTGCCAGGTGGACTGACGAGTTAATGCTAATGTTGCTGACTAACATGTTTACCATATCAACTTATTATACAATATTTTGATGTTGCATGTTATACTGCACCCACATGGCTGAAATATCATTTAATGCCACTGTAGATACACAGGTTTGACAGAGACCTAATTTCATTTGCCAACAAAACTTGAAAAATCTGTCATGTTTTTGTTTCTATGTTTCACCATACTTCCTCCTGTTCAAACACTGAATGTGAAAGATTGATTTACTCAGTGAACATAAGGTGTAGCAAGTTCCACACTGTAGCAGTTGATGGCCATGTCTGTAAATAATGTCTGTGTTTTCATTTTAACTGTTGTGCTATTTGACCTCCATCACAGGTGAAACAAGCAGTCATTTGGTCCTTGGAGGCTGGGTATCGCCACATTGACTGTGCAGCCATTTATGGCAATGAGGTTGAGATTGGAGAAGCCCTACAAGAGACTCTAGGCCCCGGCAAGGTAAAACAGCTTCAAGCAAATTAGAAGGTCAAAATTTCAGTAAAAATGGTCTCCGTTCCATAACACATAATGACAGTAATATGTCCATTGAGGGTGATCGATACCAGATACTGAGATCTCTGTCTTTCAGATTTCAGCTTTTACTTAATTATTTCTATTGTCTGACATATCTGTGCACCAGTCGCTGAGGCGAGAGGACGTGTTCATCACATCCAAGCTGTGGAACACCCGACATCACCCAGAAGACGTGGAGCCGGCCCTGCTGAAGACCCTGAAGGACCTGAAGCTGGAGTACCTGGACCTCTACCTCATCCACTGGCCCTATGCCTTCCAGTGAGCTCAACCCACTCTAAGGTCGAACTTGTTATCTTGAGAAAACCGCTTTTTGTTTTCTCAAGATAACAAGATAATGACAACGTAGTCATGAGAAACCATCTTTGTTATCCTGGGAGAACAAGGTCATTAAGTCATTATTCCAAGATAAAAAGATAATTAACTTCTTATTTTGAGACTTTGGGATTTTAAAAATGATTTTAGAAAGGGAAAAATTGTTAAAGTTTTGACACTACATTCATCTTCATACTATATAGACCTTAAAGTGAAACTTGCAATGGAGCCATATTTTAAGAAAATAAAAGGAAAAGAGAACTTGTTTACTTGTTTTCCACTTCAGCCTGTCCTTGGTTATTCTCTCCATTAAATGTGGCTCCCTCTTTGTATCCACCAGACGCGGAGATGTTACTTTCCCCAGAAAGGAGGATGGCACGTTGCTGTACGACGACATAGACTACAAGCTGACCTGGGCTGCCATGGAGAAGCTGGTGGGGAAGGGTCTCGTCCGATCCATCGGTCTGTCCAACTTCAACAGTCTACAGATAGATGACATCCTGTCTGTTGCCAGCATCAAACCAACTGTCCTACAGGTACAGGGACGTACAGGTATGGGTTAGGTGAGAA